CTATACATGCAAAAGTAATTATTCCTTCTATTGATACTTGTAAACTTTAATGTTGTTATAAGATTATGCTTTTTCTATAGTGGATTTTGACTGCACTACAATTTTAGGTCTACTAGCATGTAATAATTAAAGAAAATTAGAATAATTAATTGTGTTAAGGATACTGATAAAAACATTTTAAATAAGTTTAGTGATATTGTTGAAGCCGTAAGCAGCCTTTCTATATAATGTCATATACACATTGATCACTAGCTGTAGATTAAAGATAGTTAATCAAAATTTAAAAAGAAACTTTTAATGATTTTTAAAAAGTGCATGTTGTAGACGGTTTTATGATATAAAGCTTTAAACTGAAAATGGTATAGGAGAAAATATAGAAAACATAGTATCATTTACATTGAAATATAATGAAGACTTTAGATAAGAATAAATTGCAGTAAGAAAACTAATTATTCAAATTCTCCCATAGTTCTTAAATAGTATGAGGCAGTAAATAGAGATGGTAAGAAATAGTAAAATCTAAGATATGTTATGTTAATTGTTCATTATTTGTATGTCTGTATTATTTTTTTCAATCTTGTTTTGTCCTTAATACTTTTTGAAATTTTCATGTCTTAACTCTGGCACATAACGAAAAATGTGTTATTTACTTAGTGTTATAAAAAAAGGGTTACCACACGGAGATGGGGTAGTGGGTGGGAATGAAGATGGGATGGGGTTGGGGTGGAAGATTGGGGTAGGAGTTAGGGGTTGGTGATAGGGGGATAGAGATAAGGGTGGGAGATAGGGGTGAGAAAAATGGGTTGGAGAACGGGGTGAGTGATAGGGGTGGGAGATAGTGGTAATAGATTGGGGTGAGAGATATGTTGTATTCACAACGATCAAATTATAACTGAAAAATAAATTCAATGTAAATTAGCAAGTTAATTTCCTATGAATTGTTTTGGGCCAGATATTATGAAAACACTAAAATATTAGGCAGAAACTTGATATGTTTACTAGCCACCTTAGATAATAGCTTGTTTCTGTACTCTAAATTATTTCAATACTTCAACTAGACATGAAAATAGTCTTTCGTGGTTGCAGACTCGCCTGAGAAACTTTCCTATTTTTATTGCTTTATTTTTTTAAATGTGATAATTTTATATTTCATAAATAGAATGTTTTGTTTATAAGAATTATTTTTTTTTCCTAGTTCAATTTTTTTTTTTAAGGGCATGTTTTAGTAGGCAACACTGTTACAACACTGTTATTATACAAATATTGTACAGGTTATTACACGGGTTAAGTGGTTAATACTAAATAAAATGTAATATTCTTTATAATTAAAAATCACCCGTCCTTTACATCTAATGGAATCTTATAAAATTTCATAATACATACTCTTCTTTTAAAAACGTATTGCGATCGAAACGAAGACATTCGTCGGTCAAGAAATGAGTGTGATCAATTTGCTCGTCACCGGCCGGATTTTCCGAAGACGATGGATTCTCGGTAGGACCAGAGTATGCTAAAATATAAAATTAATTTTCCAAATGAATTTGTATTGTTTATTTACAGTTTGAATTAGCGTCCAGCAGTTTGATTTAACATCAATTTGTTTAAATGGTGAATTTTTATATTTTAAATGAAATTATAATAGTAATTGTATGTGCAATACAATTAAATAAAATTGTGTATTTTAGATTTTTAAAAAAATAATAATGGTAGTTTTGATGGACGAGTGCAGTAAAGTTTTACGAATGTAAAATAATTGAATAATTTTTCATTTATTTTTAAACATTGTTTTTTAGTTTTTCAAATGAAAAAATAACAATAATTTAATTGCTTGTTTGCAGTACGGTTTAATAATAATTGTGAAATCGTTTACCATTTTTAGCAATTAATAACATAAAATTAAGGACAGATACTAACCTTCCGTTAAACTTGTTAAAAATATCAAATTAACCTCCACCAGAGCTTTTTAGCGCTTAACTTAGACATTATAACTAGTCAGCAAGGAGGTTTTGTGAAAGGATGAGTAAATCTTAATAGGCCATCTTTTAGTGAGAAAATACAGCAAATACAGCAATTGCGATAATTACCATAATTGGGTTCAGAATATATCGCTTAAGATTATATGCTTCAATTATAAGAAGGCAATTATTTACGTAGATACAAATAAAATATATTACGTACCCGGAGTTGACCTTAAAACAATGAGTACAATAAAATAAAATATAAACACCATCATGTTATACGTGTTAATATGATTTATGAACACTATACAAAACACAACGTCCGTAGGTATTGAAAGCTAACGGGAGTAAAATGTTTTGATAAAATAGCGCACAATTTTTTAGCATACGCGATGGTGTTTTTCATAGAAAGAATTATGTATACAACTGGTGTGCAAATTTTGTGCGAGGCCTCGATGAATTTGATCGTATTTTTTCGAAATTTATAGACAAGGTACCTGTAAAATAAAAAAAATATTCTCGTTTGTTATTGTGTTTTAAATTCATGTAACACTATTGTCGTATTTAAAACGGGATTATCGGTTTTTAGAAAGTCAAAAACACGGGGGCCAAAAAAGGTGAACCATGATTTTTTTTCTTGAAAAAAATTTATCGAGAAAAAAAAATTCTATCCGAAGCTTCTTTGAATACAAGAAGTGTTTTCTGTTTAACAAATAGATTTTTAAATTGTTTTATAAAAAAATATGACTCTTGTTGATGGTATATAACCCCGATGAACCCCTGTAAATACGACACTAAATTAAATTTATCATGATTATTGATATGTACGTGTTTTTTTCTTCTCCATCGGTCGTGCTATAGGCGCCTTTAAAACAATTTACCACTTGCTATTCAAAGAAGGTTTATTTTTCCCTTAAGATAAAGATAGTGCATCATGAATATGTTTATGGCACTCGGAGGCGGGAAGACGAATATATGATACATATCATGTCAAAAAATATTATACAGGACGATTCTTTTATCATGAATCAGTCAATATCTCACTGGGTTTAATTTATAATTTGATTTTTTTTTTTTCATTTTGTTTTTATACAACGTGATCTCAATTTTTCACAATTTTTTTTTTATTCTCCTCCCAACTTAGATGTGTTTTAAGGGACTTTTGAAACTTAAGTGGTAACGTACATATTTTATCACCTTTTAAAATAGAGAATAATTTATTACAAATTTTGACTGGTCGATAACCAGTTTCAGATAACTATTTATGAAGTTATGAGTGTGTAAAAGTTAGAATGGGAGGGAAGTGGAATGTTGTATGTTTTTTTATCTGCGCGCATTTCCCAACCGCAAATAGTTACATTAGTGACTCTTTTATGACATCCAAAATATTTGTATCCGAACTAACCAGATCTGATCGCCTAACTTCAGACAGTTCCTCGTCATCCATAAGCTGATATCTGACGGCATATAAAATGTTAGTTTTATCATCAGAATCTAGGTCGTTTCGGTAGTTTTTTATCCATTGACAAACCGCATGGAATATATCCTCTGCGACAGCATACGCCGAGTGACGATTGAGAATTAGTTGTAATGCTTCCTAAAGATAACAAATTGCTGTCATAACTGGTTATTGTACACGAGAAATAATGATTTTTCTATTATGCGAATATTATTACGGGAGACAAAGAAAGAGAATCTTCAGATTGCAATAAGTCCAAAGCGTGGATGTCGATAAAATTGATTGATGCGACTTCGAGTTCTTTTAGTTGGTAGCGAAGCGCCACAGAAAACAACGAACTTACATTGGTTCATTGATGTTATTCTGCAAATACTCGGACAGTGAAAATTGTAAGTTTGAGAAATTAAATACATTCGAAAGAATTAATAATTCCACAATAACTTAAAATTAAATTTATTCGGCCAGAATAAATATAATCAAGATGTACTCTAACTAAGGTAGATGATCCTTCTTTTATTGGCACCTCCTTTAGACGGGATTCTATATGACCTCCATACAGTAAAGAGCTAAAATGTATACACAATATTAGCTTTAAAAATGCCACAACCAGTAAGGTATAATATTGTATGGGCTACAAAAAGTGAGTTTTCATTTTAAAACTTATTACAAATTTACCCTCGTCTAGTTTGATAAGATTAGACCATATTGAACTGCTATATAATAAGTCATACAATCAGTTTGAATACTTAATATATCATTTGTTTTACAAGAATTAATTAATATTGTCGTGAAAATTTATAAGTAGTAATTGTTCGTATTAAAATCGATTTATATTAAGCAAGTAAACAAACAATTATATAATTTTTTTTTTTATAACATTTACAAAAACATTTTGAATGGTTGATTAGAAAATTGGTGATACCGTAAAAAAACAGCAAAAAAATTCAATTAATAAATAAAAAAGTTGAACAACGATTTTCGATGATATTGTATAACGTAATGATTATTAAGGTATTATTATAAATAAGGAAATATGAATATGATTAGTTATAAGATTTAAATATCTAAAATATACGATATTCAATCAGCATTTAGCTCAAAAGAGTCAAAATAGAGAGTCGTCCTACATACACACGGTACAAAAACAATATACTACGGTAGATTGTAATGAATTCTAACCAAAACTAAATACATCTGGTCTATAGTTTTCCAACTCGAATTCAGGTTTTCCGAAAGTAAAATGTTTGTATTTTTTTTGGAACCAAGTTGCTTTTTTATAATGACAGACAAACGGGGATTAACGGAAGTTAGGTTATGCCAATGGAAGAAGCCAATTCAAGCGAGGTCAGTAAAAATAAAGATTACTCTGTTTAACTAGGTACTGCTCTATGTCTATTATCTACCTTATTTCTAAAATCTTCTTATTGTCAACTGTTTGTGTTGGTGATTTAAGTGACGTATAACGATTTAGATAATATTTTATTTCAATAGTAAAAAAATATTATTAAAATTTCGTACTTACATAATATTGTTAAAATTTACCAAAATCATATAAATTCAGTCAAAAAAGAAAAAAAAATCAATAATAATAATAATAATATAATATGACAAATATATATAGGTATATATAAAAATGGAGTTTCCCGCACGACGCGGATAAACAAATGGCATGATCTAAACGACGGCGGGGTGGAGATGAGGGGGATGGATGGTTTTAACATTAAACCGAAGGGCTTGGTGCAAAAATCAATTTTTCTTTTCATCCCATTCGCTCCGATAGTATAGGGACAAAACGGATTTTGTCTATTGGTTTTAACATGGATTTATATTTTTTCAGTTGTGAATCTCCAACGTTCGTGGACGTTTTCGCATCATTGTGACGTCACGAAACCGGGCGATTCTCTTGTCAACAATCTCTTATCAGCTGATTTGTCTTTCTTATCAGTTATCCATGTTTTTTTTTTTGTCGCACCGAGCTCTTCAGTTATGAAATATTATTATACATCTATATTAATAATACTTAAAAGTAAAAAAAAAAAGAGAGGTCAAGTGTTTTTTTTTCTTTCTATTATTATAGCTTCAGGCCCGGGTTGGTGGCTGCCACGTAGTTGAGAAGTTCGTCGCTGTCCTCGCAAACGAACGGCTTCTCGTGATAACACCCGATGTCGTGCCACGCGATGCCGTCGCCGTACACGTTGTTGAGCACAGCCAAACAAGACTCGACGGTGCCGTTGATGTCGAACTCGGCGTTGTCCGGTTGCGGTGACTTCTTGTGTCCGCCCCGGCTCCACGGGTTGTACGACCAGTTAACCGGTATCTGGTTGGTGGCCGGTATCTTGTTCCGGGTCGCCGACCAGAACCATCCGTTCACGGTCTTCGGTTCCAAGTCCGATCGGTTTTCGCATCCCTTGAAGTCGCACAGTCTACCGCTGGTCCATATGTACGGCACGTCGTCTAAAAGAAAAAAAAAAAGATCCGTAAAATAACGGTAAGTCGAAATTTAGTCAACCGCGGTTGTGGTCACCGGTTAGGTGATGACGAACTCACATGCGCAGAAACGCGTTTTGATTTCTGCGCAAGTGCGTTCACTGAGGTCGCCCGGCGTGTGGCCAATTCTACCTAACCTTACACCGTTATACAGGGTGATCCAACTAACGTAAGACAAAAAGGGAGATTAATGAAAACAAACAGATGAACAGAAAAAATTCAAACGCTAACATATTTTTTAATTTTTTGTCTAAAAATGTATGTAATTAAAAACATATGTTGCCATTAAAAAAAAACCAAAAATCCCCCTTATTAGCTTATAAGGATTGGTGATGAAAGTTTTCAAAATATTGAAAAATGTAGTAAAATATGTACCTAGTTGGATCACCCTGTATACAATGAGTGTAGTGAACCTAACCTAACAAATAATATCAGAGTTGATAACGAATTACGTTGTAAATGTATAGTAAAACTAAGTGACAAAAAAAAAATGGGCAGAGTGATTTTGTTTACATCACCGAAGTGACCATTTTGATTCTATCTGTTCTTTGCCCAAAGCCAAAAACGTTGAACCGTGAAATGTGTTTAGACCTAATCATATCTTATCAGTTGACGTATCTATTGTTATCATTTTCCACAGATATATATATATAGAAAATAAACTAGATTGCTCACTAGCGATAAGAATCGACGTCCGCCATTTTTGTGGGGCTTATATATTTAAATATACATCTGTGATTCTGTGTCATCAACTTAACTTATAATTGTCATAAGCTTGTAAAAAAGGTATGAGAGGTTTCAAATTAACCTCTCAAGTATAAGTTTTTGCAGATTTTCACAGGTGTCCAAACGAGTTTCAAGGAAATTTTTTTATGAGGCTTTAGACAAAGGTAAAACATTTTTTTGGACGCTCCTAAAATATGTCCTGCCATTTTAGGCAGTAGGTATAATCATCTAAAAAGTGAAATTTACATAGTATTATGTAATTATTAGTGATAATAAAATAAGACAGAAACGTTTTTAATCTCAACATAGGATGTCGCAAGCCATAAGTTATATTACACGGTTGAACGGTACACATGAAACGATTTAGTGGAGTTAATTGATCGGCGGTGGTTTTTTTTTTATAATTTAATCATCATGTAATGAATTCATTATAGATACATTTTAACAACGATAGAATAGAAATAATAGTAATTATTGTTGGAATATGATTGAAAGTAATATTTTTTCTCGTACACAACAAAATTGCAAGACATAACGTCTGTATCTAATAGTAATGGGTTGGGTAGATGATTATAGACTACAAAGACCGAGTAAAATCAATGAAATAAATTCCAGAAAAAAGATAATTAATTGTTAATGGTGGTGGTTTACCCGTGAGAAATGAGAGCAATTAGATGGAGTTTTTTTATCACCGACTATGAAACACTGGTTCAAAATAATACAGCCTTTTACATAGTACATAATAAATAATTATACGTTATTAAATTACACTTATTGTGTGTATGTGTATGTGTTCAAACGTTTTCAATTAATAGATTTCTAGGTAAAACGACCGGTTAATAGCATTGGAGTCTATAATTCATGCTAAGTTCATATTTTTATGAATTATATAATATTACTATGTAGTACCATAATATTATTTCAAGCCATGTACTCACTCTGTTGGACGAGCCTGAACATGAGATTGTTTTCTTCTTGGTTGTCGATGGACACCAGATCCATGCAGTGTTCGCGACAGATATTTCTTGCTTCCAACCAGTCGACTTTTGAAGTTTTCCACTGTTGCGTGTGTCCGCTGAAGAAGTAATTGCGCCCCTTGTAAGTAAACTCTTTGGGTCCTGCGTTTGAGTGAAAAACAAACAAACAAAAATTTAGAAAATTTAATCTTTTCATTTTGAAGGAAAGACATTGTGCATCTTGAACACATCTGTTTTCTTAAGATCAGCTGATATACATCTCTTATCAATCATATCTTATCAGCTGATTCTCTTATCAGTTACCCAGGGATTATCGATTTGCCCTTATTCGTCAGACCCCCAGCTAAGGGTCAATAATCGATAATACTGTTTTCTTCAAAATTGCCAACTCTTAGAGATGTTTTTTGGATTTACAAATTCAATCTTTCCCTTTTGTTTTCGGTTCAAAACACCTTTGCCTCGAAGGAAAGACATTTGATCATTGGAATGTCATAATGTGATCAGTTGATTTTCTTTGTGTAACCTTTAGCTTATTATCAGCTGATTTTCACCATCCTATCGCCGCCTAATCCACTCTTATCACTATTCCATTTCCTTCTCCTGTCCCTTCAGCTTCTATTCCTAACCTAACCTAACCTAAAGCAACCTAAGAGATTTCCATGTCGAAATGCGTTGCCAGGCTGAGAAAGATTTTTATTGCCGTTTTATGGAATATTGTATGGACAATATTGTTTGTTATTGTCACGGGTTTTGTTACAGAACCTCAGTTAAGCCCTACGTCGTCTTGCCGGCGTTGTGTGTAATAATTTACAGTGCCACGACGCCTTACAGCACCACGGTGTTTAATAATAATTGTTATTACCGTCTAGTATTATTATGTATACACACGGATTGACCTACAGCTGGGTACAGCTCTTAATGACTGGTAACCTAGTGACTCCGGCCAGACGAGAGATGCGGCACACACATACAGAACGGCAAGTCACGAGCCTATATTATCATTATAACACACCGGTTTAAGAATGGCACTAAACATGCTGTGCAAAAAAGCAAAATATTACTACAACCGATAAAACGACACGCAACACCTGCCGTTGGATACACGAGAAACGCATTACTACTATTATTGGGATTTACTAAACCTCTCATTGGACCAATGTATGTGTGTGTGTCTTGTCAAGTGCATTGCAATATTTCACTAAAAATGTTCACTGTTTAAAACAGTTAGGATGTTAGGACAAAGTGTGCGCAGATACAAATAATAGCACTCTCCTCTTGTCCTAAACTTGAGACTTTTATAACTTCAAAAATAGCCATCTTAAACTGGCTATCGACCTGTCAACAGTTTTGGTAAAATATTCTTAATGCAACAGGTTATTGAAATGTGTATGCGTTTTAAACACTAAAAGTTGATAAAACTTTAACGCCTAAATTGCCATTATTTCAAGAGCGATTCCAGTGTCTTATCCTTAATTGTTTACTATTAAACACCTTGTAGATATAAATATTGGGGGGGGGGGGGATATTCTTTTGCTTACTTTGACTACATTTTTCGGCAACAGGTAGACTGAGGAACCGACCGGGTTTCTGCGTGACCGGGTTGTTTGATTTGACTTCGTTGATGGCTGCCAAACAGCCAGTGACCACTAGCGCCACGGTAAACAATCTCAATGACAGTGTTCCGGTCATCTGCGTGAGAAAAATTGACAATGTATTAATATTCATGTACAATTTCAATGAACAAACGCACGAGACGTCTGAATTAACGATGGATTCTCCGTGGTGAATAATAGAATTTTTAATTGGGCAATACCCACTATAGGGCCACAATGGCGCTGCGTTTTTGACGACGGTTTAATGCGAATAACACGATTTATAGTATTGAAAGTCATGGGTTGGAATTTTTTAAATGAATTTTCTTACAATAACAAGTAGTGTATTAGGTACAGCAGCCACAAACTAATGGAAACATTTTCCACGTACAAATAATCACACAATGTTTCGAACCGAGAATAATGTTGATGGATAAAAACTCCTATGGAAAATGTTAAATTTGTTTAAACGGTGTCTAATTTAAGGCCGAATTCCATAATTTGTTTCTATTCGATTTAAAATTGTTCATTTCTCTCACTTCTCTGGATAAAATACCCAGTAAAAAAGTTGTATTGGCTGTGTATAAATAAAATATTAAAAAAACGAATAAAATTAACAATATCAAATGGGTAATAATTTTATAATTTACAATTCGTTTTTACTTTAGCTTTTGAACAAACCCGAAATTCTACTGTTATATTTTAAATGTTTTACTGACTTAAAAAGTTATATTTATCAATCCGAAGGTTCAAACATAATATAGAGGTATGTTTTTCTAACCGAACATCATTGTATTAGATGCACCTGTTGCGGTCAGTGTATTATTTTGATGACGACCAGTCGAACTGACATAATGATATATTACTTTTTAATATTTTCCAAGTACAACAAAGACACGTTTACATATTATCGTTATTATATTGTCACCGACTATTGTCAGTAGTGTTATAACAAAACGAACGGTTCTCCTTATCCATTTGCTCCACCGGAGTTATACAACAGTACCGTATAAACATAATGATATTACCGACCTTATGTAAATGCTTCTATGTTGCCCACAAGACAATATGGACACATAGACATTGATGTTATTATTTTATACACACACACACACGGAGAAAATAATTGTTCAAATCGAATTCTGTTGCCAGCAAGGCGACAAGTAGGTATAATAATAATAATAATGTACACTTACTGGAAGTTATGCAATGTCTTCGCGGTAATTAATTCGGGTCGGTCTCGGCCAACACGATCAAACCGAAGTAAAAGAGATTTATTAATGATAATGTTATTATGTGCTAAGTAGCCGCTGCAATATGCTTTCTTGAATATTTCTGTAATGTATAGGTTTGCCTTAAACGCTTTCGAACCCAATTCAGTGTGTTGTGTGTATTAAAATAATACATTATCCGAATAAAAACATCTAGTAAAACTGTCTGAATAGTTTTCAAGAATAAGTTCGAGAATACAATTGCATACGGTTTCAGAGTAATTTCTAAAGCAGAACGGCCAACAAGTTATTTCTGTTTATTTGATTTTTTTTTTTTGTCGATAAAATGTGAGAGCGACTGTTAAAATATTCCAACGTCTTATTTACATATTTTATTTGTATTATGTAAACACACGATCCCGACTGTTATCATAGTCATTCAGGGCCATCTAAGGTCATGCGTTATACGATGGTGTTTTCTAGGTTTTATTCGATTTACCTAGAGGTACTCTTGACACGACTTAAGCTAAAATAATTACTGTTAGAGAGTAAACTTAGCCGACTGCGGCAACCTAGTTGAACGCATAATTGTTGTCAAAGCGTTTTGACGCGATTAAACAAAAAACAAAGTGGTTATTTCTGTTAAAAAAAATGATGTAACATCACTTGTGCCATTTGACCCTGAAAAGCCTGATTGTTGAACTATTAAACTCGACGAGAATGTTGTCGTTTAATACATTTTCGAATGAATCGTGCAAGCTATCAGAGAAACATTTACAAAATCTGGTATTTATTTAAAAGGATTATATTGTTGGTAGGCGCAGGTGTGTGATTTCTACCATTAGAATAGAACACAGCGGTATTGTGTTGGTTGTACTTAATTAAAGTAAAATAATTGTCTCTTGACAAGAAGATTATTTTTAGTCCATTTTGAGCTTGTTTCGATTAAAATAATTGATTTGACAGTAAAATTAAACTTTCTAACTAATAATAAACAATTACAATATGATATGATCATGATAACAGCTGTTGTTGTGGTTGTCGTTACAACATGGCAAAAACGGAGGCAACATATTATTGATAACACACCTAATATTATATTTTATACACCCAAAGTCCATCCTAGTGTATTATTATTTTAATGCCTAAACGCACATAGTTATAATAAATTGCACACTAAACAATAATATCGACTGTCATTTTTTTAAATTATGATAATATGTCCACACAATAATCTTCTCGTAACCAGGCCTGGTCCTAACTTCCCTACGCGGAAAAGGGTAGCCGTTTTTTTCCAATATGGCGGCCATTGGGGTAATGTTTTGCACATGTAAAAATGAAAACGTGTCGACTAATCAATGCACTCCTGTGGCGGCCATATTGGAAAAACAACGGCTACGCATTTACATTTAGCAATATTATAATATTTACAATTTCTTTGATTTTAAAATAATTTTTTTTGTATCAAATTAAGTCTCAGGGACTTCATAAGTTTCAATTTGATAACAAAATGTTGAAATTACCACAAAAATAAAGCTATTGCGTTTTTTCGCACGACGACAGTGTTATTAAATTTCCACCAATTTGTAGAAAATTATTAAAATACTATTTTTTTCGGGTTAAGTGAATCAAAACGGTGATGTTTAGATAAAAAAAAAACAATTGATTTTATTAAAACCGTACGGGTGATCCATTTGACGCAAGACACTAATTTTTCATAAAATAAAATGTAATTTTGAAGATATTCTTTTTGAAAACATTTTTAATTTTTTTTTTTTAGTACTTTCCAGAGCTCTTATCAACTTTGGAAACTTAAATAGTAACGCATAATTTGGACAGGTCGATAACCAGTTTTGAATAATTATTTTTAAAGTTATTAAAGTTCAAAATTTAGGACTGTGAATTTAGTATTATTTTTATCTTCGCGCATTACTGAACCGTCCTAAATTTTACACTCAAGTCACTTTAAATCTAATAATTATTATCCAATATTGGTTATCGACCAGTCAAAATTTTCAGCAAATTATTAGCATTTAAAAAAAGTTAATTAAATATAGACGGTACCGTTTAAGTTTTAAGTTCATAGAACTTGAGGGAAAGTATACAAATTGAAAACTGTAAAAGAACATTGACTAAAATATCTCCAAAAAGAAAAACAACAAAATTGTGTGTCTCACGGTAAATGGATCATTGTGTAAATCCATAATTAATGGAGATTATATATTTTTTTTTTTGCTACATGTATTGGAAAAAAGGTCCCACGTGCAAGTGCTACTATTATTAGCTGTACACAATAAGCATGTGCCATCAACTAGAAAAAATTATAAAACATTTTTTTTGGAAAAAAATAAGACTGGGAAAAGGGCTGTGCTTTTTTAAACAACAACAACGATTGTAACTATATATTTTGTTTTCAGGCGAGAATTTAAGAATTTTACTCGTTTCTACACGAGAAGTGTAGAAACACAAAAAAATGTAATTTTTAGCTCTCCCGGCAAAAAATCAAAATCTGTGTAACGCGGACCTTTTTCCAGTGTGTGTTTACCGCCGCCAAGGTTGGAATATTTGACAATATCAAAAACAAACATCTATATAGGTAAGGTATATGTAATATTTTATTTACCTTATTTTCGGTTTTGTCGGAAGTGTTCAGCCGGCAACGGTGTGCTCAAGAAGTTTGTTGATGAGAACGTCCACAAACGATAGTCAGCGTTTCGGAGGCGATGCCAGGATTATTTATAGAAACGAAGGCGGCGGCGACGACGGTCGACCGGTGGGAGTCACCGGTGGCGGACACGGTAAGTTCACTGTCTGTCAAAAACGTTCGACCTTAAAGAAGAAGAAGAAGAAGAAACCACACGGTATGTAAAAAAAAAAAAAAAACAAGACGAAGAAGACGACCAACGAGCCTTCTAACACTATTATTATTATTATTTATTACATACGAGTGTGTTAACGCGTATACTGTTTTTTTATTTTTTTTTTATGTATATTAGGCGCATGTGCTCTCTCGGTCGAGGCGACCTTGATACTGCTACTACAGCTGCAGTCATCCCGATAGGTTAGGTTGTAGTTAATTACTTTCACTGTCGAAAAAACCAAAAAAAAAAAAACAATGTCGATTTCGTGTCTCGCATAGTCGTTGACCGATCCGCACACGGGACGTGTCCACACCACCTGTTGTCGGTGGTGGTTGAAGCATGATAATAATGTACGAAAAAACTACTTTGAATGTGTTAATACTTGAACTCACTAGAGATCATCACATTCTTCTCGGATCCACGCAGGTCCGCAAGAACGGATATTCTATTGGCTGTTTAAGGAGACTTTAACGCGCCTCAATTATTTGACAGCGATATATATTTTTTTTTTTGAACCCATTTAAGCCTCGTGGGTAGTTTACCATGGTTAAAAATAGCAATTATGTAGGTTTTTATTGTAATTTTGTGGCATTCGACAATATTCAAGTTTTTATCTTTTTTTTGGCAAACTCCAGAGGTCTATTAATTAATTGGTATTCATAGTGTAAACGGTATTAACAATCATTTGATGAATATTTTTACCCAGTTTTAAATAATTACTTTTAAAGTTTTAAATTTAAGATAAAAGAAATATTACATTCTTTAAACTAGTTTTTAGAAAAAATATATATGGTATTAGTTTTGAAAAGCAATCTCGATTAATGTAACGATGAATTTGTACAGAAAAATGAGATTCGTTTCTGCTGAAAAAACTAATGTCATTTCGAACTAGAAGTTTAGTACTTTACTATTAAAAACTGCTGTGGACAGGAACTAACTAGAGTGGGGTAAGTTCTTTGAGTATTTTACAACACCGACCGCAACTTTTTTTTTTTTATAGCCCGCTGATTTAAATAAAAAAGCAGGACATTTTAGATTAGAGTGTGATATAATTGTATACAAATTACTAGTAATTATTGATAACAAAATTAACAATGTTGTTCGTGGCAAAGAGCACAACAGGTCATTTAGGAAAAGTCTAATGGAGAGGTAAAATAATATGCAACAACATAGAATTTTATCAAAAAATAAAGTCAAGAAAAAATGGATTTTTCAAACGAGGTACTAACACAAAACGTTAATTGAAATACCAAAAAAAAAAAACTCTAAACTGAAGTACACAATAATTATCTAATTATTGTATTGCTCAATTAGTATTTTACACAACATTAAAAAAAATATATATATATATTTTTTTTAATTTAAACTATCACCAAAAATAAAACACTTAAGCGCCATTTTTTAAATTCCTGTTTCTCAGGATTGTTTTAGACAAGGAAACAGTTTCAACCCAGAAATCGGCTTGCGTGAATCAAGATCACTGTTTTTGTTCTACTTTTTGGAATTTAAGTTTACAGTAATATTAGCATTTTCGACCTAACCTAATCCAACGTCTTGAGCAAATTAAGTCACAGCTTCCTTTTACAAAACATACTACCCGATTAAGTTTCCTGCAATTTACAGTTACCTCTTTGTGCAGACCATTTACATTATTTCTTAGGCAAAGTTCTTGATTTGAACGACACATTGACCGATGCAAACACACAAATAAAAGGTTGTTCAAAAAAAATATCAATGGTTATTGTGTCTAGACCTACATTTTGGCAGGTGCTAAAATGATGTATACCTGACTGAGCATAACAATTACCTTATCTTCAAACTGTTAGATATAAAAATATAAAATAATATTTTAAAATAAAAAATGTTATGCGTAAGTACACAAATCAAGGATTGGGTTATCAATTTTTGGAGGTGCTAATAAATGTAGTCGCGCCTCGTTTCCTGTTTATTTATATTTTCGATTGGACATTACATTATTGTATTATTATCGTCGTTACATATTGACAAATTTAATATTATTAATTTCTCTTTTTTTATTCTGTTTAGTACCATCACGGCGTTGGACAGAAAATAATTACGAATACAGTACAATAGGTGTATAGTATACATATGTATTATGTATACATATTTATATGGCAAGACACACGCGCACAGTCGCTGTATAGAATACCGAAAAACACATACGGAAGAGAAATTATTATATTATACTGCGGTATAATATAATATTATTATTATTATTATTATTATATACAAACTCTTTTACAATACTGTTTTGGCGGTAATGATAAAAAATAGGCTCTTTCTCTTCGCTCGGGACACGTTAACAGGAGGACACCGGTGACGATACAAAACGGTTAATTTGTTCTGATATTAATTTACAAGACTTTTTTTTTTTTTCAGTAATTATTTTAGCGCGCCTAATGTGTTTTAAACGATATAAAATAATATACCGGGTGATCCATTCCAAGCGACACACTCATTTTCAAAAAAAAACCAACGATTTGTTTAAAATGTTGACCATACTTCAAAACTCTTATCTCTCTTATCTTATCAGATAAATCATCTGATATTTTCGTTAGGTTTTCTCTTGTCGATTTTTCCGGTTGTGTGCCAAAGTAGAGACATAAAATGTCAATTTTATCTCTAAACTCTTATCTCTTATCTCTCTTATCTTATCAGATAAATCATCTGATATTTTCGTTAGGTTTTTTCCTGTAGATTTTTCCGGTTGTGTGCCAAAGTAAAGACATACAAATAGGTCAAAAACCGTTTTGAAAATTCATAGTTCAATCGTTTTTGTTCGACAAATAGCCAAATTGTAACAAAATAAATACTAACCATAATCAATAAAATATGATATCAATATAAATAACCTAATGCATGTATTATGCTGATAACGCTTTGCCCCGATCACCCTGTAACAACGGGCAAGGTGTTGTTTATAATAAATTAGGTACCGTACAAATGCGGCGGTTTTCCGGTGAGATTTCCATTACATACACCACCACTGTATTATATGGTGTCCGTTAAATACATATTTAATTATTAGTTAAACGCTATTATGTCTCCGCTATGATATAATATAATACAGTCGGACGGATTTGTATGGGTATTTCTTCACGATTAATTTTTTCTATATTCTGTTTTATGTCGTTTCTGTGGCGGAGACGATTAAGGTCAGCGGTTGACATCAAACTGCATGAAATCCTTGTCACGCTAACGACACAGCAAAAGTGCACCGTCTTCTTTCTCACGGCGAGGTAAACAAATCCATTAAATTCTCTTATAAGCTACAAATACACTGTACATGTACACTGTGACTTATATGAACGAAACAAACTTATTCTCATGTCAACGGGGTACCTGATCGATGATTTTTGTTAACACGGTAAAAACTCGTATTAAATACTTAAATAAATTCCGAAAATGTTTATAAAAATACTACACAGGTGATCCATTGGATTCTGTAGCAAACTGTCCCCCCCCCCCCCAAAAAAAAATGCTATTGTGCTTTTAACTTTTACAGTTATTATTTGAAAGTATTAGAACACAATATAGAAGTTTCTGAATTTTTAGGGAAATCTAAGATCTCCATCAGCGTTTAAAACTTAAATAAGTAACGTACAATATACCTACTTAACCAACTTTTTATAAAATTTGCTGAATATCTTAAGCAGCCGATAAGAAATATATAAATATATACTACGTTGATAGAGGTCTGGGAAATGCTGAAAAAGAAAAATATTTAATTTAAACAATATTTCTATATGGAAAAAATATAAAATGTCCATTATTTAGAAAATGTTGAAAAAATAACTTTTTTTAATGGAACCAAACAAAGTAGTGTCTTTATCTCTGAATCGTTATTTTTTATATTTTACTATTGTTTTAAATAATTTTTACAAACAACAAGTTAAAATTTTCAAATTTCGCCTCCTGTTCTTTGGAATTTCTCCAGATAGTAATTTCATTGAAACTGCCAATAAATTGTTTTGTTTTTCATCTTTTTTAACTTTTGACCCGTTGAACCAAAAGCAAGCTTGTGCTAACCTAACCTAACCGATTGGGACCGTTTACTAAGAGTCGAGTTTTATTTTCTAAGGTCGAGGCCGTTTACTTTGACTTGTGACCATTTATTGCCAAACCAATCGGTTTGCCAAGCGCATCTGCCCCTCTGTCCAAGTAACTTTGCAAGGTCATATTATTATTGTAGGTAAACTATGGATTGGAGACGTTTAAACCGAACATGCTATTATACCGGCTGTCGTTTAGTATACTTGCAAATTTAAATATGAACATAACGATTAATAGCAGAAATGACCTCTTCAACTCGGCTTTACTCCTTCTTGTTCTGTTTATTATTTTACAAAAGACCGTGGATTTTTCATGTCTGTGATTTTTTTCCTCCCAAAAAATATCACTGATCACAACGGTGTCTTTTGACTAGGTATAAAAATGTGATCGGTTTGTGGTGTAATAATAATGTTTTTTTTTTTTTTTTAATGGCAATCCGTGCGACACGCGTGATCGTTGGGTAAAGGTCGCTGACAAGCGAATTACCGTTGAAACATAATATTGTTTGCGTATCGAATTCGACTTGTTTACTTTGGCTGGAAGAAATAATTTACACTGTTTTAATTCTCGCGGGACACCTTGGCACAGTTAATTGGCCATAATGACAATAATACTAATAACCTGTACACGATCGAATTTGACCCGTGTCTCTAAGGTGCGTGTCGGTACGCCTCGGTCGTCGTTTTGTCACAAAACACTTCACGTACTCTTCCCCATAGCCACCCTGTTGTATTCTATCTATGCGAATGGACAATTTTGGTTTAACTTGAATATGTTACTGGGCTGGATACAAGAAATTTTTAGATTGCCATTGTCGCGTTA